AGGGCCATTAGGGCCGTGGTAGCATAATTGGTCAGTGTATTCGCCCGGATTAAGAAGGGTGCGGGTTCGAGTCCCGTCCGCTGCCTGGTCCGCGTGGATTTTTTTCTAGTAAAATTTTTCTTTAGATTTAAACATCTAGCAGTTAAATGCTTAAAAACATAAAAGTTAAAGTACTAACATAAAAAATATTTTCAATGATATGTCGCATTTTGTTATTGGTTCCTAGGCAGGGTTCCATACATTGTTGCATGTTATACTTTGTTATCGGGTCTTCTGAGAGGCAATGCATAATTTTATATTCCTAACCTACTTCAATATTAAATAAACGGCTCGAAGGACCAGAAAATATGCCCGGCTTTTTGCTTACTGCATATCTCTTCATGGAAGTTCTTACTTTTTTGTACTTTGCGCCCTTAATTTCTATATCAAAGCGTCTCGCCCATAGGCACGTTATTATTGGTCGATAATATCGAATGCGTTTATGCGATATTTAGTCATACTTTTATTGGCTCGTTATTAACCCCAGCAGTGTGTAGCCGATCTAATCATCGATCATCGATCACCGATGACATAATGTACAAAAACAGATATAGACTGATAAAAACGCGCCTGCGGCGGAAGGCTTAAATTTTAGGTTTAATTTCCTCCATTAATTACCATAGACAAGCTACTGTTGTCACGTTGTTATTTGCAGGTATTGGTACCATTGGAACGAGCGTAAATGCATCAAGATGCGTTGGTCTGATCATTGCGACAAAATACCGGATCCTCCGAATGTAAACAATTTCCCATCTGAGGATGAGTGTCTCAATCAATGCTCTGGGTGGGCATAATATTTACTACAATAAAAAACAATATTTAGAATTCACTTATTGGTTTATTGTTCTGTCATGTGCAGAGCTGTTCCTTCTTCCCTGGTCTATAGAGCTCTATAGATTTTGTTGGTAGCGGCGACTGGTTGCGCCGCCATGGTGTCCCGGTGAAATATAGCCCTAAGAACAGCGGTAGTATACCAAACCAATGCCATCCATCTCTGTGTCGCCTCACGACGAAAAACAAACGTTTTAATTGCAAATGTTCCTCGCCACCGCTAAATGCGGGGCGGGAATGATTATGGAGAGTCACTCTTTCAAGCAGCTTACCGGTTTGTTAACCATTGATATAATATTTATTACAAATAAATAAATATTTCCAACACACACCAACTAGCCTAGCCCCCAAAAGTAAGCACTATAAGAAATAATAAGAATACATAAAGTGTACATATATAAATATATTTATATAGAAATACATATCAAACATCCATGACTGGAGTACAAATGCTCGTATTCATCACACAAACTTTTGACGATTTTTGACAACCTCTGCGGCCGAGTGGTTTGTACGCTGGGTTTCAAGGTGTCGCCGACTCGAGAGGTCCCGGGTTCGAATCCCGGTGGGGGCAGATGTTTGTGTGATGAATACGAGCATTTGTACTCCAGTCATGGATGTTTTATATGTATTTCTATAAAAATATAGTTATATATGTACAATATATGTATTCTATCCGTTACCCTAGCATCCCATAACACAAGCCTTACAGTGCTTACTTTGGGGCTAGGCTAATTGGTGTGAGTGTTGGAAATATTTATTTATTTATTTACAAACATCTGCCCCCAACGGGAATCGAAGCCGGGACCTCTCGAGTCGGCGACACCATGAAACCCGGCGTACAAACCATCCGGCCACGCAGGTCGTTTTATATTGTTTTCGTGTAGGTAATAAGATCGAATAAATCATTAGTAATTTTAAATCTGAGTTTAAAGTGAAGTGAGGAGGTTACCATTCGCAAGTAGAATAGGGATGATGACTAATTTTTTTTTCTTCGTTTATCAGGTAGATTATCAAAAAGTATTGGACACGTATTTTTTCTTTTTTCACGTAATATAAACATTGCAGAGATATATTGATTTGAAAAGTCGCATGACGTCACGTTTGAGTACACTTATAAGGGAAAATTCACTCAAAAGTGACGTCACGAGCCCCTACTCCCAAACTTTGACGCGCTATAACTTTGTCATTTTTTGGTTGATTGCCCAAAGAAAAAATACGGGTCCATTATTTTTTGATCATCTAACTAACGGACTAAATAGAATTTCGTTTACTGTACCCCGTCATCATCCCTATTCTTTGCCCGCTCACGTGTTCCTCCTTACAATCTGGGGTCTTAAAAGCGGCGTGAAGATGCAGGCCGGCAAGATGAGGATGGTTGGTGAGGCAGTTCATCGTTGCTGCACCAGCTATCTTCTTCGTGTCTGAACTTTACCACTACTAAACATCGGGTGGGGTAGAGTCATTTGCTTACCAAGATTTAAAAAAAAAACGCCAAGAAGAAATCAATACCATAAAATGCGAAAGAGCGATTAAAAAAATATGCAAAAAAAAAAAACACAGAAAATGAGCTTTATTTAGAGTGGGTTTATTCTATTTTATATTCTAAACGCGAGTTTAGAAGGTTTATTGGTGTTTGCAAAGGTTTTGTTTTTTCGGCGTAAGGGTGGTGAACAAACCGCCTGTGGTGGTCCGTGTCGTGTTAAGCTGCTACCGCAACCTTTAATTTACATTATTTATTTTTTTTATACGGCCCGCAACAACGGACGTGTCCGCTGATAACTAGAGAAAGCGTGGGCTGTATACAATAAAGCAACGTATTTAGAAGAAGCTTAATATAACAATCTTTCTATATATCTATATATATATAAAAATATATATAACTGACATAGTGAACTATCAACGCACAGCCCAAACCACTGGACGGATCGGGCTGAAATTTGGCATGCAGGTAGATGTTATGACGTAGGCATCCGCTAAGAAAGGATTTTGATCCATTCTACCCCGAGGCGAAGCGAGGGCGCGCCACTAGTCTATATATATAAAACTCAAAGGTGACTGACTGACTGACATAGTGATCTATCAACGCACAGCCCAAACCACTGGACGGATCGGGCTGAAATTTGGCATGCAGGTAGATGTTATGACGTTGGCTCTAGTAAGCCGTTGTCGTGGGGGGCGAGGAAAAATGCCCAGGCACTCTTGAGACTTGCGAGAGGCTAGGTGTGAGGTCCTTTCGTTGGTGTGCCCCTTAGGGACGCCAATGTCTGTAAATAAAGGTATTGCCTGCTTAAAAAAGCCTAGTTGGGTTAGTCAGTTCATAAAGCAACACGGCCGACGCGTTCAGGAGGTGACTAAGGCTAAGCATACACAGCTTTCCCCTCTGTCGAGTTGGGCATAAAACAAAATAATGTGTGGAGGATTTGGAGGTGTATTGTATCATAGTTTATGTGTGAAGGTGGATATTACAGTTTTGTTTTTCACGCATGCACGTTAAACTGTATTTGTGTGCATATTCCGCCGTCAAAATGGCAGAATGTTTTGAATACCTAACTATGTCTCGCTATGGTTAGCTATTACTTTTCGAAACGCGCTAACTCCCTTCCGTGTTGCTCTATGAGCCAGTTCTAAATTCCGTGATTGAAGTTGACTATGATAATGATACAGAGAGAACAAAACAGCCCTTGCTGAGTTTCTTGCCTGTTCTTCCCAGTACAAGGTCTTCCACCGTAGTTTTGCCGATGGCGTAGCTTTTCGCCTATCACAGGTCTTTGTAACAACCTTGTAATAAATGATTTTTGATTTTGCATTCAACAACTCTGCACGCACCCTGGACCAATTTAGTAGTCTACGTTCTGAGCTACTACTACAACTGCTACATATGGTTTAATGTGTCCTGTAAAGCACGGAAAACTCAAGATAGTAAATGTTTGGTTAGCCATCCAACAAGTGGTTGCGAAGATCGCATAACTTCCCCAATCACAAACCAAACGCACTTACATGTGCACAGTTGAGAGCTCTGAATATTGCTGTCGTCGAACGTTGAAATGGTATCTACCTACATTACTTACAAATTTCTTGCTTCAAAGAGATTGATAACATTTTCTACCTACGCATATATTATATTTGCTTTACGGAAAAAAGGGTCACTCAACAATGAAATAACTATGTTGGCTTACACTAGAAGACTGCTATACAATTTCACGAGTAATAAAGAATAATAGCAATTTATAACAGTAATCAGCATAGAGCTAGCTAGGCCAGGGTGCGGCGACTAATAGCAGTCGCTCCGCCACCGCTGCCGTAGACGTAAAATCCATTAGAAGAACCAAACGTAAAAATGTGTTCTCAATATTTTTACCAATGAGTAAAATATCTTTTCTTCGCCTGATATGGGTCACATCACAGGGTCATATACATCAGGATTATTTCTTTAGTTCTCGCCCATTAGTCTTGTCGGGTTCGGGACAAGGTCGTAATTTTATCATTTTACTTGGCAAAAAGAGAGATTTAAATCCATTAACTTGACGAGCTTATTTAAATAACTATGATGACGTTACAATCGGGGCCTGTACTGTACCCATTTATAAGAAGGGTTTTCTATTCTTAATACATTTGGCAGTCAACATTGCATGTCTGTCAAGGTTTGGAATGGGTCTCACTGCAACTTTCAATCAATTCGCGTTCTTTTTCTATTGGTAAGTAAGCTTCTGGTTCCACGAGGTAGGGAACTGGGCCATGCTTGGCATGCTGGGTATTGGCTGGCTGGAGCAACAGATTTTTCTACCGCATCTGTTGTCTTCGCAACTGGACTCCATAAACACTAAACACCAAGTTGCGTGGGGTAATAATTCTGTGCCTCCTATCAAAAAAAGGAAAAACATACATATATCTATTCGCCGTCAATATATAAAATTTCCACAATAAAGTATCTTTGTAATAGAATTACAGTACACATGACGGCGACGTCTAAAAAGATAGAAATTCATTTGTAAAATTGCCATGTCTACGCATTCCTGTGTCGTGTAAAGTCACACCCTAATCCTAGCCGGGCTCAGACAGTATATTGCGGCGTCGGCAGCAACAGGCTGGTTGTGCACCACCCTGTGTGGTAGCACCGACGCCCGACGATGGGGAATAAGGTTGTCACCTTCACAGAACAACAGCTGGAGAACTATCAGGTAAAAACCGTTCATAATACTAAAATGAAACTTCTTTAAATTTATTTTTCGTGTTTAGATTGTCGTATTATATTTCTAATTGTAATAATAATAAACTATTTTATTGCCTTCATATCATGATACACTTGTCTTATTAAAGCGTACTACATATAGTAAAAACAAAATTACAAGTATGTATCTTAAAATAACATTTAGTGGAGGCAACAGGATGCGGCTCAGCGTAAGCGAAGCCAAGGTATGTCCTGGTCCGTGCTGGTTTTCAGCCTCAACCTTTTACCTGTGATGTTATGCGGGCCACAGCCAGTATTAAAGAACTGCCAACTATTACACAGAAAACTTACATTCTTACTAAGTAAATAAAGAAGGTAATGCTCTTGTGTGAAATGTGGGTCCTGGAGTGTACTGTGTTTAAATCAAAAAAAATCTGAATTTACCAACAACCATCATTAGTTGATTAGTTGAGTGATAGAAGGTTCGTCTGCTACGCGGGAGACCCGGGTTCGAATTCCAGCCGCAGAAGGACTTTTGCTTTATCATTTTAAAAGTTTCAATTGCATCGTGGTTTCATAAACCACACCAATTTTAACGTTATCGTTCTTAACGCGAAACTACTAATATTTGTATAGTAATACAACAAATAAAGTATGTTGAAAATGGCAAACGAAACAAAAACGAGATGTAGTTCTGCCCCTCTAGCATGACCACCGAAACGGGATATGATAAAGCGATATATCGGCATTAACTGTCAGACTACAGTGGAGTTTGACAGAAGTCTGACAGTTAATGCCGATATATCGCTTTATCATATGCCGTTTCGGTCATGCTAGAGGGGCTGTCTCCGTAGCATGACCATTTTATCACGTTTTTATCGCGTCTAACTATCAAACTCCATATTAATTTGACAATTGTGCGTGATAAAACCAGCGATATTTTATAATTATCACGGTGCTCATGCTGGGGGGGCAGGATTGATAACAAATAAACTTGTGTTATTATTATCACAAACACCATGATGCATATTTGTTGCTATTGCACCCTAGATAAGGCTTCAGTAATGTGTGTTTTTCTATAGAATGATCTGGTATGTTATTGATCATTCATTGATAGATAACTTTAAATAATGTGTGTTGAACAGAACAATTAAATAAGGTTATTGTAAGCGAAAAAGTGCTTAACGTAATGCATATACATAGCAAACAATTTTAAAATTATACCAAACTTTCAATGAATGTTCAAATGGCTTTTAATATTTGAAAAAAATCCAACTTCTGCTCACGAACAACAATAACATTACTCACCAATATCATCATCATCATCATCATCATCATCAGCCTATTAATGTCCCCACTGCTGGGGCACAGACTTTTCCTATGGATGGAATAGGGAGATTGGGCCATGACCCCCACGCGGGCCCAGTGCGGATTGGTGGGTGCTAACAACTGCAGATGCAGCCGGGACCAACGGCTTAACGTGCCTTCCGAAGCACGGAGGAGCTCGAGATAGTAAATTTTTGGTCACCCATCCAATGACCGACCACTGCGAAAGTTGCTTAACTTCAACTAGCAGCCGAACACGCTAACCACCTGCGCCATCGAGCTCCTCACCAATATGATTCAATTAAAATATCTATAAGTAAAGCAGAACAGCGTTTACATAGTTGGAAATAAGTTGGAACCAGAAATTATTGCATAACAAAAATACGCACTTCAATGGTTTATTTCGTAGCACTGCAGAACAATATCAAACACAAGATGTTACAAACTCCGTAGCATGCAGTCAGAAAAGGGCGGAAACAACTTATGTGCAATATGTTGGTTCAAGGAGATAAATATTCTAACTGTAGCATCACAATATATATTGGACAACTTACTATATGTAAAGAAAAATATTATACATTTTTCTGAAAAATGTGATACACATAATGTTAATACTAGGAAAAAACACGATTTGGTTGTACATAAGACTCGTCTCCACAAAATAAACAATTCCTTTGTGGGCCAATGTATACGTTTTTACAATAAGCTTCCAAATAATATGAGAGATTTGCCTATTAATAAATTTAAAACAACTTTAAAAGCTAAATTGTATAAAAAAGCTTATTATAAAATTAATGACTATTTGAATGATAAATATGCGTGGGAGTAAAATCTGCCCAAAAATTTACGCATCTAAAACTGTACTTTTAGTACCTTAATTATTATTTTTTGATGTAACTATTGACCTGTAATGATGTTGTAAGATCAGTACGAAATTGTAAGCTGTGGAGTTTCTTTCGCCGCTTCTTCTCCGACAAAGCAGCATAATAATTAGGTATTTAAGTGAAATAATTATTGCATCTCGAAACTGTGGTAGGGAGTTGACGATTTAAAAGTAATTACCAAAGTCCATTTAAATAAAGATATTTTGAGTTTTGCAAATCAAGTGGTTTGTACGCCGGCTTTCATGGTGTCGCCGACTTGAGAGGTTCGAATCCCGGTGGGGGCAGATGTTTGTGTGATGAATATGAACATTTGTACTCCAGTCATGGATGTTTTAATATGTATTTATATATAAATATACTGTTATATGTACTGTATATGTATTCTATCCCTTACCCTAGTATCCCATAACACAAGCCTAACAGTGCTTACTTTGGGGCTAGGCTAATCGGTGTGTGTTTGAAATATTTATTTATTATTATTATATGCGGATGTTGAGCTTATAATACTTTTGATAACGAACGAAGTAACTTAGGATAACTTTTGCCCGCAGGGTAACGTATTATCTCTTTATCATAATCTAAAATATTTATGCAGTTTAGGCTATTAGAAGCACTCATGAATGTCTAGAAGCTACGTCATCGGTTGGTTAATCTACGGCGGGAGACCTTGTACTGAGAAGAACCGACAATAAACTCAATAAGGGTTGTTTTTCTCTCCCTATTTCATTATTTACCTACAGAGTCGTCAAGTTGAAAAATGACTTCAGAGATGATTCATGAAGTCACCCTTTCATTAATTAATTGTTCACCTGCATTTTGATTGCTGTGTTATACGGTATAAATACAAATAGTGTTGTTTATACTACGTGTAACTAGTAGAGATGGGCCGACTATGGTATTTGCCGACTAACCGACTAGCCAGTCGGCTAGATTAGTCTAATCGGTTTTCATTTTGCCGACTAATCCGACTAGTCGGCAATGCCGATCATTCTGATACTTATCTTAGGGAGGTGTTTGGAATATTTTGCCACTACTCGGCTTGCTAACGCACGACACGAGTCACAAGTCCCGAAAAGTGCACAATATTGATGACGAGAAATCTAGTTCGGCTCACGAACTTCACTCTTACTGCGCATTGCCTGTCATAACACGCAATGAAGACTTATTTACATGGTGGCACCTGAACAGGTCCAGATGTCCTGAAATGTCTCGTATCGCCAAAGTATACCTTTGTTCTCCCGCCAGTATTTTTTATAGCGAGCATCTCTTCTTAGAAGCTGGTAACATCTATGAGACAAAAATAAATCACTTACTCCCAGATCGAGCCGAAATATTGACATTCCTACATCACAACTTGCCTCTACTAAAAAAAGTATATGTTTAAGGACTTCTTTAACACTCGCTAGCACTTAAAATCTTACTTAATTATTACTTATGTACCTACCCTTGTTATTTTGTTATGTGCCATATTCATTATGTTAATTTAACTGAATTACTGACTGATTCCTAAGTTCCTCATTACCATAATGTAACCTTATTTTTTTTTAAATATTTTAAGACTGTAAAGTCTGTAACTTTAGATACATTGCGCTTGCATTACAAACGCGCTTGACATATCGACAAATACAGCAGTAACTCTATTTTTACTACCAATGCTTTCCGTTATTGTTCTGTTTAAAGCAATAGCCGAAAGAAAGTCATTCTGCTCTACTTTCATTATTTTATTTTCTTCAAAGTACTATTTATTAACCTTTCTAATGATACTCTGCCTACGCAATATACCCTTGATTCCCTATTGTATAACACTGATTCAAAAAAGACGCAATGTTAAAAAAACAAGCATAAATTGTTAGTTTTTTTTCATTTGTTTGTGCCGATTATGATCGGCATGTTTTGCCAAATAGTCTCCGACTAATCGCCGACTATAAACGACGCCGAATAGTCGTCTTTCCCGACTAGTCGGCGGCTAGTCGGCCCATCTCTAGTAACTAGACATTAACATCTTCAATATCAAAGTATGTTAGACTTAGGACAGACTAATCTCCGTTAGCAGCACCCGTTGCATGCTGCATGCACCTACAGAACTTATTTATTTACAATACTAGGGGTCCTCTTTGGTTTCACTGCTAATTTGAGGAAAAAGGGTTATAGTAAGTCAAACTTAAAAGATGGACATATGCCACATACTATGCAGTCGTGGACTCTTTATATAGATCTTTTAAGGGGGAACAATTCCGTCACACACTTTTTTGTGTAAATTTTACCGTTTACGTAGCGCACGCTACGGAAGCTCTCAAAGGGAATATTTTTTCACTTTTTTGCAGCCTTATATAGACTTCCTCGATAAATAAATGCACTATCCAAAACAGAAAAGAATTTTTCAAATTTATAATTTTTATTTTTTAAGCATGGAACTGCTTGATGTTTAATCTAAAGAAAATATAACTGGGAAAATTTCAAAATTCTAAAGAATAAATTCCACGCGTTAGTTATATAAAAATTAAAACTATAATTGCTATTTCTTCTTTCAAATGTTTAATACTTGTAAAAGTATTCATTTGACATTGTGGGTTACCTACAATACGAATAAATGGCGCTGCCTTGCAGCTTAATAATGGCTAGAAGAATTCGACGCGACCGTCAGGACCGCGGTAGCATAATTGGTTTGTGCATTCTGCTGTTCGAGGTTCGAGTCCCGTCTGCTGCCTGGTCCGCATGGAATTTTTTCTAGTTATATTTTCTTCAAATTTTCAAATCTAGTTTCTGAAATAAGCGCGTCCAACCAAACAAACGAACTCTC